AAGCGGGCGCGTCCCCCGCGGGGCCCGCGGTCTCGTCGACGTCGGCGCCGGCGTCCAGCAGAAGCTCCGCCACGTCGTCGTGGCCCTCGTAGGCTGCGAGGAGCAGCGGAGTCATCCCGTCGGTGTCTCTGTGGCCCGGGTTGGCGCCTCGCTCCAGTAAAAGGCTTGCGACCTTGCCCGAACCTCGGCGTCCCGCTGCTGCGGGAACGCAGAGGGCGGCGACCGACAGAGCCGTGCGCCCGTCCCGGTCGGCCAAGTCCACTCGGGCCTTGTGGTCCAGCAGCACCTCCACCACTTCGCGGTGTCCCATGTAGGCGGCGGCAATCAGCGGGGTGCGGCCTTTGCGGTCGGCCTTGTTCACCTGAGCCCCGTAGTCGAGGAGGATGAGGACCGTCTCCTCGTGACCTCCCCAGGCCGCGGCCCTGAGTGCGGTGCGGCCCTCCGCATCGCACCCGTCCACGTCCGCCCCCGCGTCCAGCAGAAGCCTGACCGCTTCGCCGTGCCCCCCCCGGGCCGCGGACCGGAGAGCGGTCCAGCCATCGTTGTCGGCGTGCTCCAGCATCGCGGCGGCGGTCCGCGCGTCCCGGACCCGCACCCAATCCAGCAGAGCTCGCAGCACGTCCCGATGACACCGTCTGGAGGCGACGGTGAGCGCAGTTTCACGCTGCTGATCGCTTCGGAGCGGATCAGATCCGCGAGCCAGGAGCAGCCGAACCAGGTTTGCGGACCCCTCCGAGGCCGCGCCGGAAAGCGACGTCTGCAGATCTGTCCAACTCGAGCGGTTCATCGACTTAAGGAGTTCATTAGCTCCCGCGGGACCTGCGCATTGCACTCCGAGACTTGGGTCTACACGGACGAGTCCGCTCATTTTCAAGAGCTGAAAGACGTTCCGGTGGGTCGAGGTCGGGGCTTGTGTCACCAAAGCGGCCAGGGAAGCGCCGGCAGTACCAGTCAGAGCGGGCACGTCGGCCCATATCATCCACAGGGCCAGAAGCCACAGCCGGTCCCGATGGTGACCGGAGCAGACTAAATGCGTCCCGAGCTGGACCGCCTCCTCCGAGTCGAGCAGGCGTCCCCTGAGCGTCAGAGCCATGGCCAGCATGCCGTGCCCCTCGGCTCGGCTGCACAAGTACTTCGGAGTACAGTGCTTAATGTCCGTCAGCCACTCCGCAAAGCTGCCGTGGAAAAGCAGTTTGCTGCCCCCCGGACCGTCCGCCAGGAGGGGTGCCAGGGTGCTGAGCCTCTTCCGGAATTCCTGGACGCTGAGTCCATTGTCGTGCGTCCACAGTGCCGTAAACAGATCCTGAGTCGGGAGAGGGGCCGGGGCCGCCAGGATGACGTTAAGCAGAGGCTTGACGTCGCCAAAGAGTCTCCGGGGGAAGAGTCTTTGGCACAGCCAGAGGTAAAGGCCGTTCAGGGTCCCCGGAATGTCCCGGATCTCACGGAGACCCACGAGGGAGGCGGCCACGCCGTCCAGGACTCGCTCCAGGAACAGGAAGCAGCCGCCGCTCTTGATGTGGAGCAGATTCAGCATGTCTGCCGTGTCCGAGGTGATGTGGCGCCGAAGCGCCGCCTCCCGGTCCAAACGCTTCAGGATGTACTGCTGCGCATCGCGGACCGTGTCCGGCCGACGCGGGTCGTCCAGCCGCAGTTTATGAAAACCTGATGCGCAAAAAGTTAAAAGTCAGGACGCGTCCTTTTCACTGTCGAGTGCAGGGGGCCCGCGCATCGTTGTCTTCAAACAGCACCGCACCCACCCGAGAACATCCTGCGCACGGTCTTGTTGCGGCACCGGACAGAGCAGACCAGGAGAATCCAGCCCGGCATGAGCTTCTGGTGGGCCCCCAAAAGCTCTGCGATGGAGCCGCTCCTTCGGGGGCCCTCGCAGCCCACGTCCAGAGAGTCCACCAGCACCATCATGGTCTGCGCTGGCGGGGGCACTTCCAGCAGGGGCTCCAGGACAAATCTGCGGACGCAACACCACACCGCAAGCGCGCCGGCGACCGAGTCTTAGAAACACATCACAAGTTGCATTCGGATCGTTACCGATGCTTTGCAAAAGTATTGGGACAAGGCCTTCAACTAGACGTTGAGTCCAGAGTCAAGATTTTGGACCACTTCAGCCCACGGGAACAAGAATTGGGACAATTAAGAATGTACGCAAAACTTGTCCCCCACAAATTAGGAATGCGGTGGGACGCGATGAATTTGACCCAGCACTTGTGTTTAAGTCCAGAGCACGCTATGGATGCGAAGGTCACGTTCCCGCGAAGGTGCACAATCGGCAGGCGCAGACACAAAACGGATTTTCTGGTGGTGACTCACCTTGCCGGCGCTTGTGAAATGTCTCGTTCCCACGCGAGCGCACGCGCCAAACGTATTTTTGCTCATGTTCAACGTGATTATTGCCACGGGGCCTCCTGATACGGTGACAATTTTGTCGCAACGCGTTGGTTGGCCCGACTGCGGGGAAGGTTCCGGGGGCCTCGCAAAAGTACAAAAACTGACGAGAAGGGTGGTCCCAGTTCCCTTCGTTGGGAACAGAATTGGGCTGCCGTCTGCACTATGGGGGCGGGAAATAAAGCCCTCGCCCATGACCCCTGACCCCCATCCAAGTCCCGATACCTCCAGAAACCCGAAAGGCTTTCGCCCCACCGCATTGGTTGGCCCGACTGCGGGGAAGGTTGTGGGGGCCTCGCAAAAGTACAAAAACCGATGAGAAGGGTGGTCCCAGTTCCCTTCGTTGGGAACAGAATTGGGCTGCCGTCTGCACTATGGGGGCGGGAAATAAAGTCCTCGCCCATGACCCCTGACCCCCA